ATCGAAAACCGAGCGAGGACCAAAGACGCGGGCGACACGGAAGGCCGCAAGGAACAAAGCCTTTGCGTATCGAGCACGATGATGCCTCTCGGTACGGAATGGAGACGGTAAATGAATAAAAGACGGTAAGGGCTGCGTAAAACAGTGTCTGCTCATAATTGGACAGACGCGAATAAATATATAACGGCGCCGAGAAGGTGACTAGCGCACGGATGATAAATAAAACGGTAACAATAAGTGATAGCTGAGTACGTATTAGGTTGGTGCAAAAATAATTGCGGCTTTTATCATTTTTCAAGTTTGGTGCCGATTTTTCTAGTTGTCTTTTCCAGAATTCTATCTCGTAGGAATAAACGAACTTGTATCCCGTTGAGAGATATGTATGCAAGCCAATGGTCTTTACTTCGATTAATAAATATAATATCTAACTGATATGATACGTCTCTATATTCGACGCGTAAAAACTGCAATTATTTTTGCATCAACCTGATAAAATATCCGAGTTTTCGAGAGGCTACAAAAAATCATCAGTGTATCACGAAAAGTTTAGACTTGTTATTTATAAGTAGATTTGTTATTTACAATTTGCTAACATAATTTTATTCGTAATTTAATATACTTTATTTAATATACCATTTATAATAATGTTATTTTTATACTTTATGATAATGACATTTGTAAGTAATAATATTATAATTTCCGGAAGTAACGTATCGTGAAAAATTCAACGGACCTGTTATTTATAATTTGCTATTCTTTCTTCTTTGTTCGTATTTTGTTTCGTTCTATTAATTTTACTTTGTTGCACCTTGTTTTTGCGTACGTAAGTAAACAAATTTCCAAACCGTTCCAAACGTTACAGCCCGGCGAAAAATTTCAATTAATCTCTTCTCGTTATCTGTCCCGTATCTCTCTGAATAATTTTTTATCACTGTACTGCTCGGGCTTTCTTTCCGACATTCGGTTTACCGTTTGCTCTTCCAAGTAAATAGAGCTTGCGGCATAAATTATTCATCCTTAATAATTTATATCGAAAACTTTTAGATTGGTATCGTTCTGCGAAAGTGAGGCGTCAGATCCAGCCGCATTGATACGCGCCATTTCTGATATAGGTCGGTCGTCGTACGACGGCGCCTCTTTCAAGATCTCAACGTTGTTCCGGTCGAATTTATGATGCTTTACTGCAAGAGAATTAACTCTGTTAAATTCGGCGAAATCGTCAACATCGAACGGCATAATTGGTTCGTGTAAGAGGAGTCGTAAAAGAGTCATCGACCAAGAGATTTCTGTCGATACAGGGTGAGTCCGAGATAGATGGCCAACTTCAGTACATTTTAAATAGCTTCTTGTTTCGTTTAAAGATGCCGAAGAGAGATCTCTTTCTCTTTTCTCTCCTTAATAAACAATGTTTTCCCATAGGGCCTTCTTCTGTGTTGCCATTTTTCAACCTTCTCTCCAATGTTATCCTTAGTTTCTATGAGAAACTTGTGGAAATGTTTTTTTTATTAATAATTAATAAACGAATTAATAAAAAGATGTAAAATACTAATAAACAAATAAATAAAGACAAACAAATTTCTACATTATTATAGGCATGCCCGACAACTCCTTTACATATGATCATTTAACCCAGACACCTGACCATCTCTACACCCCTCACAGAATATTTTTAGTATTTCGTTATTATTGGCGCCCCATGAATTTCTTTTTTCACAAAAATTCTTCTATATCTTAAACTCTAACTAAATTATCCTCTACTGAGTGTGTTGATATACTGCTGATCATTTATTGCAATACATACAGATGTGTTATTTCCAATTAAAAGAACTATATCCATCTATTCCGGACATACGCTATTCTATTCAAGAAAATTTCTTTTGTTTTATTCCCTTCTTATTCAATTTTTTATTTTATTCCAGAAAAATCTCACACACATCGCGTCTCGCGAATTGTGCCTCCCGCAAGAATCTAAAGCGGACACCTGTACGGTTTGTCGCGATGCTACGGGAGAAGCGTAAGTAACGTTTCTTCGGCATCAACTGTTCGATTGCTCGACACGCGACACCGAGGCGGTGGATCCTCGACGACATTCCGCACACGTGAGGAACCAACCGGAGGTCTCCCGGAGGGTGAAACGCGCTGTATTTGCATTTAGAAGGTGGCGCGGGAGTAATCTTCGATGCGTGCGGCGCATCTCGCAGAATTCCGTAATTCGCGACAAATCCGCGCGAGGCTTGATGTTTATCGTTAATATCCGTTATTCGTACTATTCCTGTCGAAACAACGTTAAAGCGTGGCTTATCCTCCCGCGTGTATCGGCAAACGCGCATTATACAGCTCCATTTCGCGCTCGCGCCGCGTGTTCGAGCCTGCGAAATGGCACGTTTCCACTAAAGAGGCTCGTTCGTGTAATTATCATTGTTATTATTATTATTATTATTAAGACATGTCGACGTTTATCACACGCCCGCACATACGAGAAGCCTTCCACACACCTCACACGTCGTATCGATAATTCTCGCGTCAACGATCCTCCTCAGCATTTGTCAGCCTGCGTTCTGTAGCGTTATCGTTACGGCGTGCCGTAATCACGTCTCTACTCCGAAAGGGTCGAACATTTATGTGCCGAGACGTCCACGTGTCCGACATATTTTCTAATCTGTCGGAAGTGTGAGGTCGTCGCGGAGCGAGAACTTCCTTCAAACGTCTCGCACTTTTTTCTCATCGATCTCGCGACTTTGCGACTTCGAGACGCTTCGCTCGGGATCGATCGAAACCGACGAGCGCGATCCTCTCTTTGACCCACATTTCTTTCCATCTTCTTCTCCCTCTCTCCCTTCGCCGCGAGCGTGCGTCCGCGTCCAGCGCGCCACAACGAAAAAGAACAAAGGAACCGCGGAGTGACAGTTTAATTTCGACCGGTCAATCCGACATTGACGAGTTCTCTCCACAAATATGTCGGTTGACTCTCGGCGCGCGATTTAATAGATTTCTCACCTCCTTACACGTCGCATCGCCGCTCATATCGTAGACAAAGAAGAAACAATCGGATCGCGAGCACGATGAAGGGAACCGGTCCAACAGCTACGTGTCCACTCGCGGCTAAAATCGCGCGGCGAGCGCGCGCGCGCGCGCGCGCGCGTCAAGCGTGACAGCAATTTGCAGCTGTGCAAGTTTCGTTGGCCAGATTGTGAACGTACTCGTCCTGGTCGCACGCAGGAGTCCGCCGGCTAACATATCCGCGAAATTCGTCCGAGCGAGAATCACCGCGAGAAACTCGCACGCTCCGCGAGCGCAGCCGTATCTTTAGATGCGCATTCATTATGCAGGCCCGTCACTTTTCATCTCATTAAATCCTCTAAGCTCCCCTCCTCCCTCCTGCCGCGGTATTTCTGCATTAAAATCGTTGTTTCCACTTTTGGCAACATATCGCGACATTTGCCGGGGCGTGCGGGATTACTTCGGATCGAAACCAGGTTTACTCTTTAAATAAACCAGCGAATATAAAACGTCTCTCTCTCTCTCTCTCTCTCTCTCTCTCTCTCTCTCTGCAAACATCTATGCGCCGAAGATTCTATTCTAATATGACAATTTCACTTCTTTCGTTCTGATTACTCTCCTCAGATGACATCATGTTTCGCCGTTTTCACGGCGAGGGAAACTCGCTAGAGCCGTTTTCGCAAAATTCACAAGACGACGTTTCGCCCGACGTCTCGGCCGAGTCCCGCGAAAACCCCCGCGTTGAAGTTCCACCGGACACAAGCGCGCGTTGGAAAAAGAAAAAAAGAAAAGAAAAAGAAACAAGAAAAAAAGCTCTGCACGCAAGTTGATCCAAGTGTGTGAGCGGACGCGCGCGGCACGAAAGTTTCTCCCCGTCGCGGAGAGGAGAGGGAGGGAGAGAGAGAGAGAGGGAGAGAGAGAGAGCGAGAGAGAGAGAGAAAGAGAGAGAGAGAGAGAGAGAGAGACGCCCGACATCAATTCAGCCGAACAATACACCACGGCGCACGCCGTGAATCTCATCGGCCGAGCCCCGTTCGCATGCTCGGCGTGCACTTTTACGTCGGCGCTCGCACACGACGGCCTTTGGTAGCCGCGCATCGGCGGACCTGCTCGGTCCGTGTGAGACGGTGTCGGCGCAGCAGCTCGAGCCCGCACAAATCCCCGACATTCAATTAGCCCCGACAATAATCAAAGTGCACGAACTCATGGAGCGAGGAGACGCAGACGCGACGAGCGCGGCGCTCGGCTCGGACGAGCAAACTTGCGACGGGCTGTAGCGCGGGGCAAAGCCCCGCGACGAGCGGGGAAATTCCGGCGAGGCGCGGCGTCGTCCCGAAAAGCGCGACGCGACGCGACTCGAAGGCGAGGCGAGGAACGACGCGGAGACGGTCAGTGTCTCGAAAAGGGTTAAACGACCCGGGAGCCGCGCCGCAGAAATGCGCGCGCGACGCGCGCCTCGTCGCCGCGGCAGCGTCCGCGGAGTCCCCGGCGCGCCAGGCAAATCCGGATCGCGCCGCGCCGAGGGAGACGTGCCGCCGCGACAGAGCAGACTCGCGGCACATACTTCTGCATCGGGCGGATCGCTATTCGGCACAAAAATATCTCCAAACCGCGACGGCTCCGTCTGGTGCGCTCGCGCGCGCGAGCCAGCGCCGATCTTCCAAGATTCAGCACGGCACGACGATGATCCTCGTGTACCTGCATAAAGCTCACTCGCTCACTCTTCTCTTTCTCTCACTCTCCACCGTCCGCCCTCGTACTCTCTCCTTTTCTCTCTTCCTCTCGCCGAGGCCGAGAGATCCGCCGAGGGAGCAATGCCCATCGCCCTGCAGAGCGGCCGAGCGATATCGCGACGCGACGCGCTGCTTCTCGCGCGTGAGAAGAGGCAAGAGGGAGAGAGAGAGAGAGAGAGCCTCTCTCTCTCTCTCTCTCTCTCTCTCTCTCTCTGTCGCTGTCCGACGAATCCGAGCGCAAAAGAAGTTATATCGTTAATCACTCAC